GGGTGTGTGGGGGTGTGTGGGTGTGTGTGGGTGTGTGTGTGTGTGTGTGTGTGTGTGTGTGTGTGTGTGTGTGTGTTCGTTCTTCCTTTGCTGCGATTGGCAGGGTCTGCACTCAAGCAGCCATTGAAACTCAGAGATCAACATACAAGAACCTAGAGGACCCACAGGTGGGGTGGGGAAGGACTCGTCTAAGGATTTGGAGTATGAGTGGGCTGAAGAGTCAGAGTGCGTGTCAGGCTCGCCGACAGATGGTATGTCTCCGAGGATCAAGACAACATGCGACCCAACCATCGAAACGCAACATTCAAGAACCTAACAAGACTTCGCTCGGGAGATTATAAACTGTTGCCTTGTTCCTCAAGACGAGTGGCATTCCTTCACAGCATCCGGCACTGTTTACTTGCCAAACAAAACATAAACATACGGCGCTCGCTTAGAATGCTGGGCGTCCGGCTCATCCTCGCATGGAGATCAGCTGGGAGTCCCGGATACCATTCTGCGCAGAACCGCACAAAAGACCCAAAGACACTAACACGGATCCAAGCATTTTGCTGGCGTTGGTGTTCGTGCCATGGAAGCCCCACTTCAACGTCCTCCTTCATTCACATGAAGGATCGACCATGATGATACATAACACACTATGAACACATGTCCACATGTGTACATACGAACGTCCAGAAGGAGAAACCTGCATATACCTTGCACATACAAATTTCTGCGGCTGCATACACATTTTAAGGCAGAAGCACATGTACATAACACACTCATAAACATACATATATATATATATNNNNTGCATACATTCATGCATGCATGCATACTTATACCTACCCACCTACCTACCCACCCACCCACCCACCCACCCACCCACCCACCCACCTACCTACACATAATATATACATTCATTCATTCATTCATTCATTCATTCATACACTGCATACCCACATACACAAATACATACATAGCTAAACTACATACACTACAAACCTACATACTTGCGTGCATACCTACGCATATACATACATACACATACATGCATGCATGCAAACGTACGTACATACGTACCCACGTGCAAACACACATACATGCACACATCCATCCATGCAGGCAGGCTTACATGCATGTATTCATATACATGGTTGTTGATCCAAACTGCTTCATCCCAGCATGATCTTCTTCGCGAGAAATGATTAACTTTCGCGACATCATCGCGGAACTTTCGCGGCAGCATACTTACATGCCTTTGCAGGTTAGAACTGAGTTATAAACTGCAAGCTTCTCGATGGCAAGTTCTGCGGGCATTCTAATTAAGAGCTTCTGGCAGGCTGCATAGGGGTCTCGGGGCTGCGTGAAAGCTACAATAGTTGGAAAAGGCTGGCTGAGGCCCTCTTAAGGCTTGGATTTTTAACGAAGACGTCTCAGTGTTCAGATTCTTGACAACGTTTCTACAAGTGATTGCAAAGATTTTGGGGGCATAATTGATTGAGGGTTTCTGGGAGCCTTCCTACAGGCTACAGGCTTGAGGGCTTCCGTAGAGCTGCCTCAGGCCGACTTAGCGCTTGGATTTCTGACGAAGTCTCGGAATCCTTAAAGAACTCTCAAAAGAACGCTGCAAGGAAACCTTTAAACGAACCCTCACAGGAATTCAAAGAACCCTCAAAGGAATCCCCAAATGCCCGCAGCGACCAACTCCAGATTCGCAACAGAGGCTGCGTGCATGCCGAAGGATTTTCAAAGGGTTTTGAGGCTGTTGGAAAGGTTTTCGTTCCAACGGAGGATTGAAAAGCTTGAAACATGGGGCTATTCCACGGGTCGTAATAGTATGGCAAGTAGGCTAAACAGATAACTTTCGATAAACGATACTTAACTTTAGCGGCACCATCGCGGAACTTTCGCGACGGCATATTTAGCTATGCAGTTGGCCTTTCATAGAAACCATGGCTCAAGGAGCTTTAGATCAACTACCACATATACAAAACCCAATACATGAACACATTAAAACAGGAGTACCTACCTACATACCTACATACGTCCGTGCATCCGTGAGTCCGTGCGCCCGTGTATGCCTGCGCGCCTGCTTTCGTGCGTGCGCGGGGGTATGTCAAAACATCTGTCGAGTGCAAGGGCACCATGCATCTCTTTTCGTATCTACCTGCAAAGAAGTGTAAAGATTATGGCGTATGTGTTTGTGTCACATAGGCGTATCTAGTTGTGTATCTCAAAAGCATACACCTTTCTTATGTCTGTAAGGTCCCTATAATTGCCAGTCTGCACGGAGAGGTGCCCGGCCCTGGCCTGCTGCTGATGCTGTGGCCAGAGCTCCTGCGCCTTTAGGATGAGCCACTGGGTGTTGTCCTCTAGAGCACTGGAGGTGAACATTTTAAGAAGGGTTCCGGCTCAGAAAGCCCCTCCAGCTATGAGAATTCCGACGTCCATTGCACTAGCTCATTCTTCAAGTCTCTACAACCGACGGCAGCGCTGAAGATGTGCAAGCCCACTCCAAGAATTTGCCGGTCCCATACCTTGTAGGAGCCTGAAGTAGACTGACTATCTTTCTGGGATACCCACCACGGGGGGGAAGATGATGGTGACTCATTCTTCAGACCCCCGCGTCTGAAAACCCCCTCGTAAAGGACTCTTTGTAGAACCCCCTTACTGTACCCTTGGTGTGGCCCTTTGTTCAAAGGGAACCCTTCCTTCGTGACCCACTGCTTCTTTGAAAAAGAGCCCTTCCTTAGCGAGCTTTTCTTTTTAAAGGAGCCCTTCGGTCCAGGAGCTGCATCCAGGAGTTGCCAAGCTTTGGCAGTTGCCGCAAGAGCGCAACGTAGGACCTGTGAGCAGGACCGAGGGGGGACCAGGCTTGGGGGGTTGAAGGTTAGGGTTTACGGCTCAGGGGTTAGGGCTTAGGATACCCCAAACCGCAACCCAGAAACGCTGTGAAGTTGTCGCAGGGCCAGCGGATTCACCGTGGCTTTTTCAGGTTCGCGATTCTTACCATTCATCTCAACACACAGATGGACAGACAAAAAAAAAGCTTGCTTTGGCAAACCGAAAACAGGGAAGCAAGGCAGCTCAAGGGCAATGTCTAGGCATCCCGGCTATCCAACACCCGAGTCGGGATTGAATCAAGCCGTTACTAGGCCTGACATGTGCGACGGCATCCGCGACCCGCTGCTGCACCACAGTGTGGACCTAGGTAGGGCAGGTAGGGGTGGGTATAGCACGTCCAGTACAGCATGTTGGAGCGAAGCGCCTCGATCGTAGCATTAGATTCCTTTGGCGCCCCAGTGATATCTGGATCATTGTCAAAAAGTTTTCAGTAAGCAGACACCCACAGACCCCTGCAGCCCTCGGGGAATAACTCGCACACAAAACTTCCGAAAACACACACTAGGTGCTCGACAGGTCCAAATCATCGGTTGCAAGGGTCTGTTGCTTAGCCAGGCCACAGCGAGATTGTGGTAGCAGATAGCCAGCAACGACGAGACTGGTGCATCACTGAGCTTGTTCAAAGCCTGTCGGAAGCTGGCTTAGGCATCAGAGAATAGTGGCGCACACAAGACTGTAGACGGATGCTAGGATTTCGCGCCTGGTGTTTTTACAAGGATGCAAGGAGCAATGCAAGCCTGATAATTAGGGCCAACTATAGTTGACATTGCACTGCTTAAGTGCGAGGTTCTTTCTAGCCTACAGGTGATGGGTTCAGGACATTTACCGCCTGACGTTCAAGGAGGAGGGTTTGCAGCCGAGTATCCTACTGGCCATTGCCGCCATGTTGCCAATGCTCTAGTGCCAAATATGCACATGTGCGTATATTTTGGCTGCATACCTATTTTGCAGACAGCCACAATGCTTGTTCTACGTCATATTCGTTCTGCTACTAGGCGGCGTCCCGGCGCACTGCTCGCAGGTACTCCTGGCCTGCTGTGTGTAGTACTCGGCCTCCGACTTGCTGCCCTGCAAATGCAGAACTGCCGCAGCCCTGAGGCAGCACCTTAGGGCCGGAAGGCCTTAGACTTAGGGGATTCGAGGCTTGGACGGAAAGGAAAGACCCCGGGACCGGGAGGCTCTTGAACTCAAAGCTGGGCACGCTGCTTGCAGTACCTGTTGACATGGCCCAGCCGCAGGTATCTTTCAGATGCCTCACCACTCTGGCCGTGATTTTGAGAGGATCATTCAGGGGCCTGTCAATACCATCTTAACCAAATTCTCTGCACTCACGTCCTCTCGAAACTTTCATCTAAGTACAGACTGAACCGCAGAAAACCCGCAGACATCTCTGATCGGAGCTGAGACTGGCTTCCGAACTGTGAATGCTTGCCTGGCCTGCTGGAAGAAGGACTGCGACCGGTCCGCCAACGTCACATCGTTGGGCATGTAGTAACACACACTCAAAGCAGTGTCCTCATGGCTCTGGGCTAGCACTTGGGGTTTCTCCGCAGACGGGCGTTGAGGAGCCGTTTCTTGAGACGGTGCCTCTCATTTCTGAAGCCTCAAACGCCGATCTTGAAACTTCGATGCAGAGAGGCTTCCAGGAGCTGACTTCGGGGTCCCCTGTCTCTTCGGTCGAGGGGTGATGCTCCTACACTGCGTAGATACCGATGTCCTGAGCACAATAGCCAGGCATCAGGAGTGTATCTCCATGTTGGCACAGGCATCATCGTCATCATCATCACCATCATCATCATCATCATCATCATCATATTCTTCTTCATCATCTTCATCATCTTCATCTTCACCAGTGACGTCATCACCATCAGGAATAACAACATGATCACCTTCTTGATTCATTCATCGTCCTCGCCGTCATCGCAAGTGGGCCCCTTTTCCAGGACAATTAACTTCGGGCACTCGTGCGCTTGCCCTGGGCTGGGAACTCCAACCTCTGTAGGGTCCCAAACCGCCGCAACAACCACCAATCTGCCGCAGAAACCCGGAGACACAAAGCCAAACCTAAGCCTCGCGAAGCAACGCCCCGGATCTGGCGAAGGGAGTTTGAAGGACTTGCTGAGGTTCTGGCGAAAAGATAGGCCTGCGACGGGGCGCACTATTGTGGGGCCAAAGGCTTGCCAATGAGACTCTTCGATGTAAGGCCGCAAGCAACGTCGTCTCCAGTGATTCGCTTTGTTGCCAAAGTCAGTTTTCGAAAACGCTTCGGATCGAACCCTGCGCAGCCCCGAAAGCAAACTTGTGAACCGCTCTTCTTGATCTGGCACGCTTCTGAACGGAAAAAGTCTTAAGCAGTCTCAAATCTGGCGTTTTCGTTCATAGATTCATAGAACCATCCAAACCTGCTGACAACAACCCGGATCTTTGCGGGCATGCAGGCTGGAGCTCAACAGCCGTGACGTGGACATGTAGTGCACGGCTTTGAAGCATTGGATTCTGGTGCAGGGTGCCTGAGGTTCATGGTCTTTAGGAGTCGTGACAGCGGGAGTGAGTGGTAGCAGTAGTTATAGTGGCAGTAGTTGTCGTAGTGGTCGTCGTAGTTGTAGTAGTAGCAGTAGTAGCAGTAGTAGCAGTAGTAGCCGTAGTAGCAGAAGTAGTAGTAGTAGTAGTAGTAGTAGGAGTAGTAGGATATATGGATGGGGCGGCCTACAGGGCACTGTGGCGAAAGGGAGCCTTCCCTGCCGCCTTCTCCCGGAACCTCCGTAAACGTCATCGGTTA